CCCCGCGGTGCTTCAGTCCGCAGGACGCACCAGCAGCCTTCGAAAGTGGCGACCGTGTCGCAGATCGCAGCCCCCCAGGGACGGCGAGGTCCCGCTCAGATCCCCGCGGTGCCTCATTCCGCAGGACGCACCAGCAGCCCTCGAAAATGGCGACAGTGTCGCAGATCGCAGCCCCCCAGGGACGGCGAGGTCTCCCTCAGATCCCCGCGGTGCTTCGGTCCGCAGGACCCACCAGCAGCCCTGCAAAGTGGCGACAGTGTCGCAGATCGCAGCCCCCCAGGGACGGCGAGGGCCCGCTCAGATCCCCGCGGTGCCTCAGTCCGCAGGGCCCACCAGCAGCCTTCGAAAGTGGCGATAGTGTCGCAGATCGCAGCCCCCCAAGGGACGGCGCGGTCTCGCCCAGATCCCCGCGGTGCTTCAGTCCGCAGGACGCACCAGCAGCCTTCGAAAGTGGCGACCGTGTCGCAGATCGCAGCCTCCCAGGGACGGCGAGGTCCCGCTCAGATCCCCGCGGTGCCTCAGTCCGCAGGACGCACCAGCAGCCTTCGAAAATGGCGACAGTGTCGCAGATCGACAGCCCCCCAGGGACGGCGAGCTTCCCGCTCCAGATCCCGCGGCGCTCACAGTTTCCGCAGGACCCACCAGCATCCCCGAAAGTGGCCCGACAGTGTCGCAGATCGCAGCCCCCCAGGGACGCGCACACACACACCACACACACACACACACCCCCCCACCAACACACACACACAACCCACACCCACACACACACACCACACAACACACACACACACACACACACACACACACACACACACCACAACACACACACACACACACACACACACCCAACACACACACACACACAACACACCACACACACACACACACACACACACACACACACACAACACACCACACACACCACAAACACACAACACCCACACACACGCACACGACATCTATCACACAACGTAACACACACACACACACCACACACACACACACACACACACACACACACAAACACAAACACACACCACACACACCACACAAACACACCACACACACACACACACACACACACACACACACACACACACACACACACACACACACACACACACACACACACACACACACACACACACACACACACACACACACACACACACACACACACGAGGTACGCACAGGACAAAAGGAGACAAGACGGAAGCGGGAGACGGGAGGCAGGAGAGGAGGAGAAGGACGCGACCACAGTGCTCTATTCAAAACGAATACCCAACCAAGGAGGGTTGGGACAACTATGCAACAAATATTCAAAAAATGATAATAGTCAAACATCGTCCCCAGCCTTTTTTTTTTGGAAGGAGGAGGAGGAGGCGAGGAGGCGGAAGGCGGGGGGAGGCCCTGCAGTGTCCATTCCGATCCGTTCGATCCGATTCGATTCGGCTCTTGCCGGCCCGATCCGATTCGATTCGGATCTTCGGGCGATTCGATGCGGCCCGATGCTTGCATGGCGCCGTCAATCAGCCTGGCGCCGCCGATCCGACTCGATTCCGACTCCGAGCCGAGGCGGTCCTGTTCGACACACGATCCGATGGGCTCCGATTTCCCGATGCGGTGCCGATTCTTCCTGCCCTGAGGCCTGGGGGCCGCATCTTTTCCCACCGGACCTTCTCACTTGGTTTCTGGCCCATAGGTTGTCACCAGCCACCAAACCACCCCAACCCATCCCGAAGGCCTTAATTTGCGTTCCATTTCCAGTGGGGGGGGGATCAGGGAACATCGACAAAACACATATGGAGCCCATACCCCCCCAACCCGAAACTCGGGTCTTCGGGTTGGGTTGGGGTGGTAGTTAGGTTGAGCATGTTCCTGGGCCATGTTCCCTGCCTTGCTATAGAGCTGCGCGCTGGAGCCTGACGACTTTGCTTTCTGTTCGTAGGTGCAACATTGAAGGTGTCGGCGCGTCGCCCATGGCGGCCAGCTGATCCCAAGCAGGCATCGCAGATTGAAAAAGAAAGTGGTACGCCTCCCCAGCGCCCTGCACCCCGATCCTCTAGACCTTGCCCCCCAGGCATACTCAACCCATGGGCTCTCAAAGATGGATCTGTCCGGGGCCCCAGTCATCATACCCCACGCCGTTTTTTTTAGGTTTGTCCACGTCGTCGGCGCTCCGGGGCAGGGGGAGTGCGCGGGGAGGGGTGATGCCAGGAGGAAAATCTCGGAAGACTTGCGCGGCGCGCAGTAGTCGCATTATCTTTTTTGGAAGTCCATGCCAAGGGAAGCCTTGCTTGCCTCCAGGGTGCCCTGGGTTTCTTGGGTTTCGATGGTTTTGCTGCAGAGAGCGTGACGTTCCCACACTAAGAATGAAAGGACGTCCTGGGGTCTCAGGGCTGGGTCTCTTGTGGGAAGCTTCTTGCGATCGAGCTCCCACGGTAGTCCGCACGCCCACCCCGTCAGGTGTGGGATGACGCTCGCCGTGCGACGTCCCGACGTGCGTCGGACGTGCCTCGGACGTGCGTCCGCTGTGAACCCGACGCATCTCCGACGTGAGCCCGACGTCGCAATTGCAAGAACTGCTGAAACACGCCCCGTGCCTGTGACAGTTGAATGAACAGGAAGCGTTTCCAATGCGCGACGCGCGGAAGCACCACAGAGCAGGAGGAATACATGAGTGGTGCCGGGCCCTGCAGAAAAATTATCTGCGGGAATGCCAAGCAGCGGCGGAGAGGGTCTCTGCGAGCTTGTCTGGCAGATGACAAAAAAAATTGAACTTTCATGTCATCTACCTTGGGTCTCAAGTTGCCGCGCGAGGCCTCCAGGATTTTGATCATACGGCATCGTCGTCGTCGTCGCTGTCGTCGTCGTCGTTTTCGTTTTCGTCGTCGTCGTCGTCGTTGTTGCCTTTTTATCGTCGTCGAGGATCGAGAAGGAACAGGGATAATGAGCGAGGAGTGCCGTCGTCGTCGTCGTCGTTGTCGTCGTCCTCGCTCTCGTCCTCCTCGTCGTCCTGTGTAGGTGCGAGAGCTTGGATTGAGGAGCAAGGGAGGGCCGGGCGCGAGGGGAACGTGAAGCTCCAGCCGGATCTCCTGGACAGCTTCCAGAAACACCTCGGGGCCAAGGCCATCCCCAGGGGTTTCGGGGCTGCCCTTCCGCCTCTTTCCCGCCTTCCCCTCGCCAATGAAAAGATCGGATCCTCTTCTTCTTCTTCTTCTTCTTCTTCTTCCTCCTCTGGTTTCCCCCAGCCTCGTTCTCGTCGCCCTGCTGCTGCTGCTGCTGCTGCTGCTGCTGCTGCTGCTGCTGCTGCTGCTGCGGCTCCTCCTAACACCTCCCCGCGGACGGGGCCAGGACGAGGACCAATCCGTTCCAGAGCGTCCCGAAACGCTCTCTCAGAGCATTCCGGAAGGCCCTGAGACGGGCGCGGCGCCCGAGACCTCCTCCAGAGCCGCCAGATCTCAGAGATCCTCAGGAGGAGGAGGAGGAGGAGGAGGAGGAGGAGACTCACCCGAATTCATCCTCGTCCTGGTTTCGTCGCATCCCCGTTCTCCTCTTCGTCGGTGTCGTCCCCTATGCTGCTCGTCCTCCTCCCCGTCCGCTCCTGGCCCGCGCGTCGGCGGCCACGCGTCATCCCGCCAGCTCGGCTGCGAGAAGCCCTTCTTCTTCGTTTTCCACGGGGGCTCCGGCTCCGAGAAGGAGGACATCGACAAGGCGGTGAGCTACGGAGTGGTGAAGATGAACGTGGACACCGATACGCAGTGGGCGTACTGGGAGGCCCTGGCCGATGTCTGCTGGGGAGAGGAGGGGGCAGGCAGGGTGGGGAAAGGGCGGATGCGGGGAGGGGGGAGGATGAGTGTTTGGTGGCCTCGGCCCATCCCTCCACCAGGCCCGTGTCGTGTCGTGGACAAGGGGCCTTTTGGATACCTCTTGGGGCCTCTTGGGGAGCCTTCGGACTGTGCCGCCACCGTGCCTGGGTTGTGGGCCAGAGGTCTCTTGAGATGCCCCTCGTAGGCTTGTCGGATGCCACTTGAGGGGGCTCTTGGGGCCTCGCGCTCTTGAGCCGTCTTGGGGCTCTCTTGGGGGCTGGGCCGTCTTTGGGCGATCTCGAGGCCACTTCGGCCGCTTGGAAAGCGCGAGCGCGCCAAATTCATTGAGACACGTTTTAGGGGAACCAGTAGTTTTGGCTTCTAGGGGCCCTCTTAGGAGCCATCTTAGGAGTCTTCTTGGGGGCCTTCTTGGGCCGTTATGGCGTCGTCTTGGGCCGTCCGCAGGCGTCTTGGGGCGCTCTTGGGCCGAGTCGGGGCCTTCTTGGGCCGCCTGTGAGCCCTCTTGGGACCCTTTGATCTCGTCTTGCCGCTCTCTGGCCTCTTGGCTAAGCCACGCGAGACAGCCGCAGAACTCAAAAGGGACTTGTGCCCCGGGGGGGGGCGGTGACGTCTTGCTGCGTGCTGTCCCGTGGGCGCTCGTGGGCGCCTGGCGCCCGCCCGTTGGTCGCCCCGTGGGCGCTTCGCTCCCCCTCCCTCGGCCGCACCTCCTTGCGGAGGTGCGGCCGAGGGAGGGGGAGTGCGATTCTCAGGAGGGAGAAAAACACACAGACAACATTCATCGTCGATTCCCAGACAATATGGGAAAATATGAGAAGTGGGGGGGAAGACGAAAACCCCAATAAATATGGAAACATATGGGGGATCCCTTTGTTTGTGTGTATTCATTTGTGTGTCCCTGGGCCCCTTGAGATTCGTGCGAGTGGGAGTGGGTGTCAGGGCGATGACTGTCCTGGGGCAGGATATTCTGCCAGCTCCCCGTGGTAATCACGCGTTGGCGCGGTCTCCCTCTCGCCTCTCCTTCCCCCTCTCCAACATAGCGCAAACAAAACCTCGGCCGCACCTCCTTGAGCATCGGCGCTGGTGCATCCGAGGTCGAAATCCGTACTAGTCCAGCGCAGTCTGACTCAATCCGGCTTAGTCCGTCATGGCCTGACCTCAAGTCGGGCATGTCCTTCTACAGGAGCAATATGCAAGAATAGCCAAACAATGGTCTGGTGACGATCTCTCGTGCTCCTTGTATCATTTTTTTCAGTTTTGATTTGTTCTTCCAAAATTCGCGTGTAGGAGGACATGCCCGACCTATGCCTAACCCTGCTTAGCCAGTGCGGCCCAATGTCTCTCTAATCGGGCTATTTGCTTTTTCTCGTTCGCACGAAGACCTCCCAGGAGTTGCCCCCTACAGTGGGAACCCATGCCAAGACACACCCTGTTTGCCTCCAGGGTGCCCTTGGTTTCTTGGGTTTCAATGGTTTTGCGATGGAACGCGTTTCAATGGACGTCCTGGGGTCTCAAGATTGGGTTTCTTGTGGGAGGTTTCTTGTGGTCGAGCTCATACTGTAACCCTCCCTCCTCCCTCCTGTCTCCTTCTGCGGTCACACTCTGTTGTCGCATGCCAGGGCCTCGCCGACCGGGATGGCCCCATTCCAGGCGCGCTCCACGCTCGGGTGCTTCTTAAGAGTGCCCGCATCTTCGCCTCTTTTTTGTGTGCTTCGTTTCACTCTTTTGTTCTCGGACCTGCCGTTTTGGAGGCATTCCACCTCCCTGCCTCCTTCTATGGTATTGTCGCTCATGCGGCTGTTTCGGTCAGTCCCAGCTCAGGGGACTTAACCCACCCTCTATCTCAAAGCCAGCTGTGCCCGCCCTCTATCTCCAGGACCCGTCGAGATTACTTGGGCAGCATCTCGATGGGTCTCGAGCCCAAGTGCAAGCGCAGAAGCTGAGCACGCTGAATTGTCATCACAAAGTCATGGCGAAAATCCTGGACATCCTCCTGCTTCGCCTCCTCCTCCTCCTTCCTCCTCTTCTTCCTCCTCCTCCGCCTCATTCTCCTCCTCTTCCTCCTCATTCATTCATTCGTTCATTCAATCATTCAGTCATTCGTTCGTTCATTCATTCATTCATGCGTTGAGGGCAAGAAGGTGGGAGCCCAAGCGAGGAACAGAGGCCGAGAGGAAGAAGCGCAGAGCCAGCGCACTGCACAGAGCAACGAGGCCAGGAAGACGCCACCCTCCTGCAGACAGCCCGAGCCACCAGACCTGCCCTCCCGCAGCCCGCCCGTGGCACGAGGGAGCCCAGGGGGGGAGAGGGGGGCCCTAGGGAGCGCCGACAGGCTCAGGCTGCCATTCGACTCCTCCTCCCCCTCCTCCTCCTCCTCCTCCTCCTCCTCCTCCTCCTCTTCCTCTTCCTCCCGCCCTCCTCATCCTCCCTCCCTTTGATGTTGGTCGGACTGCAAGCTCGGGGCTCGTGACGTTCGCCCTCCTCCCCCGCCATTCGAGATTCGGGCGCCGTCACGTGAGACCAGTCGTCGTGGTAGCCTCGGGGAACGTAACATGCCGTTGCCTTGGCATGGAACGTGAAACGGGTGCCGGGCCCGCTGCAAGCTCCAAGGGGGCTCGCAACGAAACGAGGGGACAGGACGCACGCCTGGGGCGGGAATTCGGGCGGTTGGTACCTCTCGCCACGGGGTGGCCGATTCACCGCTTTGGGCGGCAGGCCCCCGAGAGGACGGCGAAGGAGGGGAGGGGAGGGGAAGGGGCGGACGGAGGAGGACATAGGAAGGGCGGAGAAGAGGCAGAACGCCCCAGGAACCGCTTCCTCCTCTTCCTCATCCTCCTCCTCCTAGAAAAAAGGCCCCTCCTCGGTGTACGGGGGTGCTGGTACACTGAAAACAGGGGGGCCCGGGACTGGACGCTGGAAACCCAGAACGAGGGCCCCCCCTCCCCTCCCCCTTTCGGTGTGCCCCAGGGGGGGGGGGGGGGCGACGTGAGAAACTCCGGGGGTGGCGGCTTTCCATGGCCAGGGTGCGTGCCCTCGGCCTTGGCCGCCAGACGCTGGAACCTGACCAGCTTCCAGTGGCTCTCGAGACCGACCCCTGGGAAGCCGCGAGGAAGATCAATCCTGGGATCCTTGGAACGCATCCTGGGCCAATCGCATCACGACATCATTTTCGCCCTGAGCAGTCTTTCTTCTTCAGCTCGCCTGGTCGCTCGCCAGGGTGTGCTCCGCTAAGCCGCGCTCGCGGCCAGAGGCTGGGGCGCGCTCGCCCCGTGGTGTGCTCAGAGTCCGGGGCGCGCCCGGAAATCAATCAACACGAGACGAAGCCAGTCGGCGGGCAAACGGCCGTGCCAACGCTCGCCCCTGGACCATCGAAGCTTCTTCGTACGGCTGGGCCGAGGTGGAAGAGCGAGGACGCTTCGGGGAAGGTGCCCTCCTGTTCTTCGCGTTTGTTGGATGCGCCCCCCTCCTGCATGGTGGCACAATTCGCTACAACGGTATCCCCGTTTGGGCAGCCCTCCGCCAGTGAAGTTGCTCTGCCTAGCCGCCGACGTACAAAGTTTGTTTGGATGCTCTTGTGCATTCTGTGTGTCTTGGCCGGCGGAGGGTCTCGCGTTCTTGATGGATGTTCTTCTGGCCTAGGTCCGACTGCAAAGCGGGGGCCCACACTGGCGGAGGGGTGGGCCCGTCCCGCCGTCAAGACCTCTGGCCCAAGTCTCCCGCTTGACAGTGGGCCGCCAGCTTCTGGAGGGACCGCTCGGCTTGGTCCGGTGGCAGGGCGGCAGTTTCCCTTTAGCACTCGCAAGGCACCCCGTCGGAGCCAAATCCAATCGAGCGTGGCCTCGGGCATGTGAGCATTTCGGGGCCGACGCGGGGGTGACGCCGAATACCCCCGTGGCAGCGTCCGCGTTGCCTCCGTAGCGCGACCTAGCTGTGCGCACAGCTCCTCGGCCCATTCTCCAGGGGTGTTTGGGACACGGTTCGTCGAAACTCTTGGACCTTCACTGGGTCATTGAGCGCACCAGAAGCAAACGTTTGTATGCCCTTTCTGCTCACCGTACCGTGGCCCTCCCATTTTGAAATCAGTCAGCACCGGCATGTGTTCCCTGGAGGCCGACATTGTGTCCAGCGACTTTTCGACCCACGCTGGCGCAGCACAGCCCAACAGCTCCCTCTGCGCCAAGGTATATTATACCCGGTGGCAGGTAACCTGCTGTGAGATCCAGGTGTGGTTGGGCCCAGTTTGGCACGCGAGCGTGTCAATGACCTGGAGGCGGTGCTCGGCAGCGAACCCGTGGAATCGGGCTCCCGGGACGTCTTGAGCTTGCTCAAAGCTCAAAGCCCTCCCCCCAGCCCAGGGTGATCGAATATCGCCGAGACGCCCATTGGCATCGCAGAAGCCCAGGGATGGGGATTATTCGGAACACTGCTCATCCACACTTTTCCCAAACTCGGCGACCTCATTGGGGGGGCCTTCGGGCATGCGGGGCATGAGCCACCACCACAACCATATGAACCACTGGCGTATAGACACGCACGATCAAGATGCGGGGACTCCGAAAAAGCACCCCGGAGTCCCGAGGCTGAAAGAACACATCCTCGATTATCTCTGACCCGGCCGCAGGCTTTCTGTGACTTGGCCCAGAGCTTGCACCCGCAGCTGCACGGCTCGGCAGACGTAGCGCGCCCAGAAGATATGACGCGGAAGGCTCCTGCTGAACGAGTGCCCTCCTTGTTTGAAGTCGGCCTGCTTGTAACATTCAAACATAGTTTAAAACATAGTCTGGGGACCCTTTCTATTAGTATTTTTCCCAACCGTCCTGTGATGTTGGGTCCTCGTTTTGAAGAGACGGTCCCCGCGTACTCCTCCTCCCCCTCCTCCCTCCTCCATCACCATCACCATCACCATCACCATCACCATCACCATCACCATCACCATCACCATCACCATCACCATCATCATCATCATCATCATCATCATCATCATCATCATCATCATCATCATCATCATCATCATCATCATCATCATCACCCGTTTCAGCACACCCCTCACACGCTTCGTGGCCCCATAGGGAGCCCCACCGAAGGTCCCAGTGCTACCGTCCGCATGCGTCCCCCCACCCAGTACAGCGTTTCGTGGCCCCATAGGGAGCCCCGCCGAAGGTCCAAGCGCTACCGTCCGCATGCGTCCCCCCCACCCAGTACAGCGTTTCGTGGCCCCATAGGGAGCCCCACCGAAGATCCAAATGCTACCGTCCGCATGCGTCCCCCGCACCCAGTACAGCGTTTCGTGGCCCCAAGGGAGCCCCGCCGAAGGTCCAAGCGCTACCGTCCGCATGCGTCCCCCCCACCCAGTACAGCGCTTCGTGGCCCCATAGGGAGCCCCACCGAAGGTCCAAACGCTACCGTCCGCATGCGTCCCCCGCACCCAGTACAGCGTTTCGTGGCCCCATAGGGAGCCCCACCGAAGGTCCAAATGCTACCGTCCGCATGCGTCCCCCGCACCCAGTACAGCGTTTCGTGGCCCCATAGGGCGCCCCGCCGAAGGTTCAAATGCTACCGTCCGCATGCGTCCCCCCCACCCAGAATAGCGTTCCGTGGCCCCATAGGGGGCCCCACCGAAGGTCCCAGTGCTACCGTCCGCATGCGTCCCCCGCACCCAGTACAGCTTTTCGTGGCCCCATGGGGAGCCCCACCGAAGGTCCCAGTGCTACCGTCCGCATGCGCCCCCCCCACCCAGTACAGCGTTTCGTGGCCCCATAGGGAGCCCCACCGAAGGTTTCAGTGCTACCGTCCGCATGCGTCCCCCCCACCCAGTACAGCGCTTCGTGGACCCATAGGGAGCCCCACCGAAGGTCCAAATGCTACCGTCCGCATGCGTCCCCCGCACCCAGTAAAGTTCCCAGTGCTACCGTTCGCATGCGTCCCCCACACCCAGTACAGCGTTTCGTGGCTCCCTAGGGAGTCCCACCGAAGGTCCCAGTGTTACTGTCTGCATGCGCCCCCCACGCCCAGCACAGCGTTTCGTGGCCCCATAGAGAGCCCCACCGAAGCCTTTGGGACTGTCCGCGTGCGTCCCGGAAATCAAATTTGGCATTTTCACCCCACCCAGTACAGCGTTTCGTGGCCCCATAGAGAGCCCCACCGAAACCCTCAGTGGGACTGTCCGCGTGCGCCCCTGAAACACAATTTTGGTATTTTCCACACCACCCACTACGGCTTTTCGTGGCCCTGTAGATCCACCGAAGCCCCCAGTGGGACCGTCCGCATGCGTCTCGGAAGCCCAATTTGGCGTTTTCACCCACCCAGTACAGCGTTTCGTGGCCCCATACGGAACTCCACCGAAGCCCCCAGTGGGACCGTCCGCGTGCGTCCTGGAAGCCAAATTTGGCACACCCCTCATACGTTTCGTGGACCCTATAGGGAACTCCACCGAAGCCGCCAGTGGGACCGCCCGCATGCGTCCCACACGCCAGATTTTGCATATTCGCTCCACCCAGTACAGCGTTTCGTGGCCCCATAGGGAGTTCGCCCGACGGCCCCAGTTCTACCGCCCGCGTGCGTTCCCCCCCACCCAGTGCAGCGCTTCGTGGCCCCCATAGGGAACTTCACCGAAGAAAATATCCACAATTGCGGTACCCACAACTGCATATGGTTGGGTCCGTCGCCAGGATAATTTTGACCATTTGGTGTATTTGTTGACTTAATCTTTATTTTTCGCCCAAAATCCGCCTGTAGGGGGACAGGCCCGACCTAATCCTTGTTTCGCTCCTCCTGGAGTCCAATGAGGTTCAGGAGGGGAAAGAAACACACAGACACAATGAGTCGTCGACTCCCAGGAGCATAGGCGAACATATGGGAAGTGGGGGGAAGACGAGAATCGAGAAAATACGTAACGATATGGAAAATCCTAGGATTTGTGTGTATGTGTGTGCTTGCACGGGAAGGTGAGGGGTATTGCTTCGGGTGATGTCTCCTTGTTGCCATAATCTATTATCAAGCCTCTCTTCTCTCGTCAGAGGCGCCCATGGGACCTGCCGACGGCCGGCCCCCGATCGCGGTCCTCGCGGTGGCCCTCGCCAGGGCTGGCTGGCGCGCCGCCGAGGTCGGCCTGCTGCCCGAGGGTCTGCTGGGTGTCGGCGGGCCGCCGCCCCCGCCGCCGCAGCCCGACGCCGACGCGGTGCTGGGCGGTGGCGATCCCGAGGGCTCGCCCGCCTGGCTGGAGGCGGTGTGCCCAGTGGTGCCCCAGTGCCCAGCCTGCCCGGCCTGCGTCTGCCCGCAGGTGGAGTTGCAGGGCCCGTCGCCTGATGAGCAGGCTGTGTGGCTGCTGCTACCGCCCGTGCTCACCAACCTCTTGGGCGTCGTGGTGGGCCGCTGTTGCGTGCGAGGCCGATCCGCTGCGGTTAGACATGGCGCGCCTCCCGCTCGGCGCGGAGGCGGAGTGGTACAGTGAGCTGGTTTTCGGCCAGTACGGGGCCGTGGGGTACGACGGCGACGGCGTAGATCACGAGAGTATCCTGTTCCATCTTCTCGGCGATGCCGTTGAGTGGATCGGAGAGCCAGACGGCGATGAGTATTTCCAGGACGATGGCTGCCAGGGCTTTTCGGACGACACCGTGTCCGCCAGAGTGGTGCATTTGCCAGTCGAGGTAGGCGGCGATCCGCGGGTGTGGCTCGATGAGTACCTTCGAGAGATGGATTTAGCCACCACGGATCGCGCCGCCCACGTGTCACGTTGCATATGCGAGGAAGGGTATCTGGCGTACGGCTGCGACCAGGTGAGTCTGGGTGCCCTGACGGCACTGGAAGTTTTGTGTGAGCGACTGGTAAGCTTCGTGGCGGCTCACGCTCATCCGCATGTCGTGCCGTGGGAGGTGGCAAAGTACTACGCTGACGTGCAGCCCACCGAGGTCGCTGCAGGCTCAGTGACGTGGGTCCCTGTGGCGCGCAGGCTGCATGAGGATTGCGAGGGCTTGCAGCCACGCTGCGGAGCCCCTTCTCGCGGGCTGGCAGGCGGCCCAGGCGCAGGCGGCGGCGGCGGCAGCGCGGGCAGTGGCGCTGGAGGCGAGGGCGCGGGAGGCGGGGGTGGTCGCGGACGCGGTGACGGCGGCAGAGGCCGAAGCCGCGGTGTCGACGCCCCCTGGGGCCCATGACGGTCCCGCCGGCCAGGGCCCCCCGACCCTGGTCGGCTTCAGGGGGCTGGCGGCCGCCCCAGACTGGCGCCCTCGCGGGGGCAGCGAAGCCTGTTTCCGCTCCCTCTGGTGCCGTTGGAGTCGGTGCGCCCGGGGCGCGACAGCGATCGCCTTGTGATGGTGAACGACGCGCTGAAGGCACTGAACTGGATGGCAAGCTGGAAGGATTTTTTGTGGGCGAGTCGCGGCCCAGACGGCCTGCCCGATGACGCGCAGGCGGACGTCCAGCGGAGGGTGTGTGAGTTGGTTGATAGCTGGTACCCGCGCCCTCCGCCTCTCAGCGACGAGGCGGCTCTCAAGAAGTTGCTTCAGGGACATTCCCCATATCAGGCTGCGGGTTGTCCGACAAGGGTCACGTCCTTCAAGCTCGACCTCCTGGGCCTCCCTGGCTCTTTCCGAGGGTGCCCGCTGATCGCGGGCGTGGCGCCCTCAGAGGTTATCGGATTTCTGGAGGACTATCACGGGCGCATGCTGGCGCCGCCCGTTGAGAAATACGAGGCGGCCCCCATGCTTCGGCCCCAAGTAATCAGAAAGAATATCATCGGCCCCTCCGCCGCTTGGCGGACATTGGCATCATTACTTGGACCAGTTCCCCGAAGTGCAACGTGGGTCTCTTCGCGGTGTAGAAGGATGGCGGCGCAGCCCAGAGGTTGATCGTCGACGCCAGGCGGGCCAATGAGTGCTTTCAGGCGCCGCCCGGGGTGTCGCTCCTGACTTCGGAGGGCCTGTCGAGGATAGAGGTGGAGCTGCCCGCTAGCGCGCCGCTGGGGTCCGAACAGGCCGCGAAGTTGTTGGGAGATTTTTGCCTCTCGATCGGCCTCTCGGACGTCTCCAACTGTTTCCACAGGTTGCGCGTGCCGGCTTGGCTGCCTGACTATTTCTGCCTCCCTCGTGCGCCGGCTCACGTGATGGGCGCGGCGGGCGCGGAGGTTGACGGGCGTGTCCTTGGCCGCGCGGAGGCAGTGACACCGTGCTGGGCCGTGCTCCCCATGGGCTTCGCCTGGAGTCTATGGATCGCTCAGATGATCAACGAGACCACCGTGACCAAGGTGGCACCCTCTCTGCCTGGGTCCCCTCTGCGCGATCGTGGACCGCCGCTGGTGGTGAGACCTGCCCTGGGGGGGGAATGCAACACGCTCAGCCACTATGTGTATGTAGACAACCTCGGAGTGATAGGCGTCTGCGAGGCCGCAGTTGGCGACGCGCTCGAGCTGCTGGAGGAGGGCTCCAACCGCGAGGGGCTGCTGCTGCACAAGTCGGAGCGCTCGCACGGTGGCATCGTCGCGCTCGGCGCTCGGCGCGGAGCTCGACGGGGCGGCGCTGCGGGCGCGCGTCGCGCCCAAGCGGTTCTGGAACATATGCCAGGCTTTGGGCGCGCTGCTGCGGCGCCGGCGGGCCAGCGCGCGGGCGCTCGAGGTCGTCTCGGGGCACTGCGCGTTTGCCGCCTTGTGCTGCCGAGGCCTGCTCAGCGTCTTCCATTCGGTGCATGCCTTCGTGGAGCGGGGCCGCGCCTCAGGACGGGCGGAGCCGCTGTGGGGCGAGCGCCGCTCCGAATTACAAGCCTTCAGGTCGCTAATGATCTTCATGTTCAGTGACTGGCTCCGAAGCTGGAACGACCTGGTGGACCAGACCGACAGCAGCCTTGAGGGGTGCGCGGTGGCGCAGGCGCTCTGGCCCTTGCAGGCCGCATGCGAGGTGGGTCGCACCTCTGAGCGGCAACGCTTTCGCCGAGTGGGCTCCCATCGGGCTCGACAGAGCGCCCTCGAGACGGCGGGCTTCTGTCGGCAGGCGGACGGAAGCTGGGCAGTCGCAGCCGCCGAAGGGCTTGATGAAGAGAGTGGTGCTTCCGAGGAGGCGTCAGACTGGGAAGTGGATCAGTCTTTTCCCGAGGTGCCCGCTAATCTTCTGAAGTCAGTTTTGCGGCGACTGGTGAGAATGCACAACTGCCAACGTTATGAGGGAATTCTGGTGAAGGAGGCTCGTGCTCTTGTCAAAGGTTTCATTCGTGTTGTGACTAGCTCGCGAGTGTGTGACATGAGGCAGCTTCTGTTGTGTGACAATATGTCGGTCACCCTCGCCTTCGGCCGTAGTCGTGCCAAACACTTTCTGCTTCTCGTTTACATTCGCGTCTTCCAGGCTCGCTGCTTGGCCAGGAATGTCTTAGGGGCTGTGCGTTGGATCCATTCCGAATTGAACTTCTCGGATAAGGGTGCTAGGAATGTTGAGAATAGCAGTGCCATTAAGACGTTAGTTGATGATTTTCCTTCGTTTTTGAATGTCAAAGGCAACAATTTAAAGGAGACTTCGAAATGCCCGCGATCCCCGAACCTGTGTAAAGTAGGTGTTGCTGCTTCTGTCTCTCCCCTCTCCCGTTACGTAGACATTTCGCCTCCATGCTTACCGCGTACTTTCTGTGATCATCCAGATTTCACGGGCCAGAGGGGCGATGGGCCGCCGCAGGCGGTAGGCGAGGCTGCCGTCGTCGGAGGCTCGGCCGAGCGAGGGCCAGCGGGGGCTCGAGGCGCTGGCCAGCCAGAGGAAGGCCACCTTGCGGCCGCCAGGCGTCCAGCCGGCGCTGCGCGGCAGGCTGAGTGGCAGGCGCCACGGAAGGGCTCCCTCCGACAACGAGGATCGCCTGAAGCCCGCGCCCAGGCTGGCAGACGTCGGCGAGAACAGCAGCACCAGCGGCGAGGGGGGGCCAGGGCCTGGCGCCGCGCTGGGAGCAGCGCGGAGGCGCGCGGGCCGCCAGAGAGGACGAGAGCAGCTGATCACCGTCCTGACGGCCGCAGCCAGGGGAGTCCACCGCTGCCCCGGCGAGAGCTCGGCGGCGCTGGAGTTGCTGGAGCGATGCCGGAGCCGGTCGGCGGGCTTCGACTCTTCGGAGGGAGAGCGCCCGCGAGTGCACGGCGAGCTGGTCGACGGCATGCGAATGGGGAACCTCGCTTTCCTCCTCTTCATGGGCCGGGGCGCCAGCGAGGGCATTCAGATCCTTGCAGGCCTGATGTTCTCGACGGCGGAGCTCTCGAGGGCTGGCCGCTGCGGGCCCCCCCGGGCCCCCCCGCTGCCAGAGGGGCTGGCGGCGGGGTGCCCCCGGCCGCAGCTGGCGCAGCTGGTCTCTGACGTTGTGGGCTGGAGTGGCCAGGATGTTGGCTGGCCTTTTCCCTCTGCAGGCCTCGGCCCCGCGGTCGGTCCCGCTGGGCAGCCGCTGGAGGCCGAGCAAGCTGATGGGTCTCAAGGCGCGTGGTACGATTGCGCCTGCAGGTGGCGTCTCCCTTTCCTGCGGCCTGCTGTTCTCCCTCTCACAGTGGGTCGAGCGGAGCAGTGTCGCCCGCAGCGACGTCGGCATCGAGAGGGACTCGCCGCTCTTGCTGTTCATGAGGCCCGTCCAGAGAGTGATGGCCGATGGGCCGAAGGGCGAGGTGGTTCGGACGTTCACGTATCTCCAGAGCCCCCGGAAGCCGAACTTTCCGCGGGGCGAGCCGAGCATCGCAGAGACGATAGTGCAACACCCGAGGCGGCACGTGGGACCGTCGATCGACGTCTTCGGGCAGCGTCGGACGGTGCCGGAGGCCCAGCGTCGCGGACAGAGTGGAAGCATCATGAGTGTCCAGCGGTACGACGAGGACGTCAGGTTGGCGAGGAGTTGGGAGCTGCTCCCAGACAGGAGATCCCAGCTGCTGGAGGCATGCGGAGCAGCGCTCGAGGAAATGCCCCCCGGCAGACCGCGCGGCGTGGCGCCCCATTGGCGGGGCATCTCAAGAGTCGCTACATCCTTGACCTTTACGCGGGGACTGGTGGCGTCGCGCGGGCCGCTGTCCAGCAAGGTTGCAATGCTCATGCGTACGATCGAGCCCATGGGCCCAGCGAGGACTTGACGGTGCCCAGAGTGATCAAATGTGTGATTGCTGCAGTCAAACGGAAGGGAGTGATAGGCGCGGTCATGGGCCCACCGGGCGATGCCTTGGGTGGAGCGGCGGACAGGGGCAAAGACGGCCCTATCCGTTCGAAAGCAGCCGCGGGGTCTCGATGCTAACGGGTTGACAAAGCGTCAGTGTGAGCGCTTGGAGCGCGGTAACAATATCTTTCGGTGTGCTCCACAGCTTTTACTTGTGCTGTGTAAATGTCAGGTTCCAACGATTCTAGAGCACCCCGTGAATTCGAGAGTTTGGCATACCCCCGAGCTCATTGATCTCCTCAGAAGGTTTCATGGCCACGTTCGGACTTTTGACCAGTGTCAGTTTGGACGTTGTTGGCGTAAGCGCACAAGGCTTGCATTCTTTTTTCATTGACGCGTCCGATGCACTGAAATTCGATCGAAGGTGCAAAGGGAGCTCGGGGGTGTGCAGTCGCACTGGTAGAAGACACTTCGTACTGGAAGGGGCTGCTCCATCTGGTGTAAAGTGGACGGCAATAGCAGCTTCCTACCCCCCCAGCTTGTGTAAAGCCATGGTCCAAACGCTGTTGTCCCATGAGCGTGATCGCATTGCCTCCCTAGTGTCTGGCTGACGCCGGCCTTCTGCCCCGCCAACGCTGTGTGTTTTTGGCTCGTTTTTGTTTCGCTTTTTGGTGCCCCGTCCCGCCCGTCCCTGGGAACCTTCATGGCTCGGGTAGCCCTCCTCGGGTTTGGGATGTCTTGAGCGGGAGCCGTCCTAGTCGCACGGCTCTCGACTTGCTCTGTGTTTCGATCGACTGGCGTCGAGTCGCGTCGACGCGTGGCACCTTGTAGCAGATATTGCCTCCACGGGAAAAATGCGACAGCACCTGTGTGTGCTTGCACGGGAAGGTGAGGGGTATTGCTTCGGGTGATGTCTCCTTGTTGCCATAATCTATGCTCGAGCCTCTCTTCTCTCGCCCCCCCCTCCCTGGCCCGTCTCTTTCGGGATGTCTTGAGCGGGGGCCGTCCTAGTCGCACGGCTCTCGACTTGCTCTGCGTTTCGATCGACTGGCGTCGAGTCGCGTCGACGCGTGGCACCTTGTAGCAGATATTGCCTCCACGAGAGAAATACAACAGCACCTTTATTTGTGTGCCCTTGGGCCCCATCTCGTGGAACTGCGTCGCCAGCGCCACGGCACGCCCTTGCCGGGCCCGAGCTCGTCGGCCGTGCGCCCTGTTGGCGCGAGTCGACCGAACGTTGCACTGCGCCACTCCGAGGCTCGCAGTGTAAGAGACGCTCCGAACGCGGGCATGTTGTGCCAGCAAGCCTGCCTCAGTGCATGGTCGTGCTGTCACCCCCCCTCCATCCTCCCACTCCACCTGTCAGACCGAACAATAGGGGGGGATAGGGAAAGGGGGGGGTACGACATCTGCTGCATGCAGCTGATTTCGGCCCCGCCGCTGGGCCCATTCCTTGATGCATGGGCGCTTCCCTGCGCCGGGAGGCGCCAAGAAAATCAGCTACATGAGCTGATTCTCAAACCCTCCCTTTGCTATCCCCCCCCCCCTTTGCCCGGCCCGAATATGGCGTTATGTTGCCCCTATCGTATTTCCGGACCACATCCCAGTAATAAATTCGAGCACCCGGAACAAGTGTCGAAAGAGTGTCGAAAGAGTGTCGAAGCAGTGTCGGACGAGTGTCTCCCAGGGCCCGCGCTCGAAATACTTTCTTGTGATCAAGGCTACATGAAGTGGATTGGAACATTGTAAATCTGGCGGGCATGGACTGTCGTGCACATCGGGGGCTGGGCTGGATCAGGCAACCACTCCCGTTCTCGGTACACTGAGCCCACGCGTCGGGACAGTTCGTGACGGGAACGCATGGGTCTCCGAGGGTGGTGTAGGCAGCAAGATGGCCACGGCATTCCATGGGTTGCTTTCGTGCCCCTTGACGTGCGCCAGGGTCGCCTCCCCCTCATCCGCACTGAATCCCAGACCACGAGAAGAATCCGCGCGATCTCATTTTGGGGGTCGGGGGCAGCCGCGCGATGCACGGGGTCCACCACGACCTGGCCATCGGAAAACACGTGCACGGCCATTGTCAGGCCGGAAGGGTTCGCCAACAGCCAGATCCCCACGTGCACTGAAGCCGCCATTTCGGCATTGGTGCTAGAGATTGGCCCTGCGGAAGGGGTGGCACAGGTTTCTTGCACCCTGCCGTTCAGATGCCCCTGATAATTGTGACAATCCCAATCCTCCCCCACAGACATCGCAGACCAGCCAGCTATCTCATCGTTGGGATGCTGAACGGACGCGCCCGTACATATTGCGAGTTTTGTCCCATCCCCAGGCCTGTTCGGCGCGTTCCGCGCCGCATAGTGGCCCTCCACCTGCATGTCGCAATCAGGCAGGTCTAGCCGCCACGATGGCACCGAGCCCTGGCGCAGCAGGTCTGTGATGCTGGACTCCCACTAGGTGTGACAGATCACATCGACCCCTGTCGACGTGCTCACACTGCGACCCCCCGGGGTGGAGGGAGACGGATCGTGATCGCCAGATGGGCCCCCCAAATCAATCATCCCGAGGGTAATCATCATTGCACGGGCTCGGATCTCCAGATGGGGCAGGCAGGCGTCGTAGCCACTAGAGCGGCTCGGCGCTACCCCAGACTCCCCAGATCCTTCGCTTCCACAGTGCGTGTCTGTATCGGGTTCCTGGCCATGCAAGGGGTGCAGAGCCTGTCATTACCCGAGCTGGTCTGCTACCTGCCCCCAGCGGAGACAACCCGGACGGGGCCGACCCGAGTGCCACCGCGAAGGCTGAGACACCCCCCCTTAATCGGAGGTGGATAGACTTCCTACTCTGACACGTCGATTGGAATTGGCCGTTTTCGGTTCGCGAGAGAGCGTCGCGGCAGTCATTTCTGCGGGTCCAGGTCCGTCGGTTTCGGTCCCAGGCCGTTTTCACTAAGGGGAGGTTTACTGAAGGGAGGTTTGTCCACCGCCAAATTAAGACAAAGGCACCGGGCACTCGGGCTGAGCGCCCGAACCCGGCCCAGGCACCGCGCGCCATCGCAGGGCAGCGCTGTCGCGGCCGAAGCCCCGCCCCAGTCAGAGGCCCCAAGGGCACCTTGGCCCAAGCGCAGACAGCAGTGCGACAGAGGTCGCTCAGGAGGGGAAAAAACACACAGACACAATTAATCGTCGATTCCCCAGAAAATATGGGAAACCATGGGAAGTGGGGGGGGAAGACAAAAACCCAGAAAATATGGGAACTATGGCGGATCCTGTTATTTGTGTCTCTTTACTTGTGTGTCCCAGGGCCCCCTTCGGTCGCTTCTGCTGCGTGGTTGGAGGCACAGCCCGCCAGCTCGGCAGCCCCCGTGGCCCCCCCCCCCTGCCCAGGAGGCTCGTGCGACCGCGCCGTCGCCTCCAGGTCGGAAGGCCCCTGTCGGCAGCCGCGAGGAGCAGGTGGACTACAGTCAACCCGCACAATAAGGATGGACAACCTTCTCAAGGATACCCCTGCATCCTTGTCCCTTCGTCCCATCCTCGGCCACTTTCTCTGGCCGCGCCCCGCTCGAAAAGCATCGGAATGGCCCTCCAAGGCCCTTGCATCCTTACCGCGCATCCTTCTTGTACGGGTTGACTGTACTCGCCGGACGCCGACGCCCCAGATCCAGATTCCCAGGCGCACCTCAGCGTGGAGCCCCACGCGGCCGAGCATGCCCAGACAGCGGCCAGCAGCACGGGCCCAGGACACGCAGAGCGGCCGGCCACCCGGCCTCCACAGCACGAGCAGGCTGCGGGGGACATCGGCACAGTCGGGGCGGACACAGGTGGACCCGACCCCAACGACCGCCGCACCAGCAGCACAGCGACAGAACCTGCCGCAGCAACCGAACCCAGAGACGGACGAGCACGTAAGTCCCCCAGGACGGGCGAGCAGTTGCCAACCCCACCACGCCTGGTCTGAACACTCCAGCCCCTTGACCAACTACCAAGGGTCTGGGGCCTCCTCCTCAACCACCGGCCCGCCTCGCGCTGGCCGGGAGGCGCACGAATGGCACTGGGCTCAGCGGGCGGATCCAGGCTATGCCCGCGACGACGACCACAGCGACACGCTATGCATTCGGCCCCGGCGGATGATCACCAGGCATTAGGCGTGGAATTGCAAGACCAACACCCGAGAAACTTGGCCAGAGGTTGTCAACAGGCCAAAGCGGGACTGTGGCGCGTTCTTCGTCGCAGGATGGAACGCCCTCTGCGACGCCAGGGACAAGCGAGGATCAGGGAGAGGTGCCTACAACTCCGAGGGGTATGACGACTTGTGCGAGGAGTTTGTGAGCGCAACGAGCAGCAGCGCGACGAAGGCTGGGGCAAAGGAAAGGCCCACGACCCAGTCGGGAAAGGCACGAGACACGCCGACCCCACTTGGCCCAACAACGATCAGTCGAGGCCACGCCGTTCCGACCCGCCAGGCCTGTCCAGCCTCGAAGGCCTCGGCATCACGGTCACGCCAGGCAGCAGCCAGCACCGCACGCCTAGCACTAGGTCCCCCCACGGTGCTCCCTCAGACTACCGGGGTCACCAGCGGGGGATCCGAACTGGCCGCCATCCCAGCTCAGCTCAGACCTCTCTCCCCAGGCCAGTGCGTGGCCTGCGTCCTAGCTTTTCGCTGCCCCTACTCGCGCAAGTTGCTGCGCCAGCTTGCGCCCGCTGACCCGCCGCGTACTGTCCACCCAGACAGCGCGGGGCACTCAATTGCTTCAGTCGCAGCCCGCCCCACCGGCCACCGGTTTGGCTACCCTAGCCGCCATGTGCAGTCCACCCAGACAGCGCGCGGCACATACTCCTT